GGGGGGGGTTCACCACAACATGAGGAACTGTCCGAAAGGGTCAGGGCATGAGGAAGGTTGAGAACCAGTGCTAGAGACGTACAGCCGTGGAAACAGAAAAGAAGGGTTGATACGAGTCAGACCACCTCAATGGCAATTAGTTTGGTTTTGTTGTCTTCATTTTGAGTGGGGGAGTGAGTTTTCCCCCCACCTACAGGGCTCATCATCTAGAACTGCCTGGGGGGACAGTATTCTGTCGTGATCCACGGGTTTTCCTTGGATTCCTTTCAGATGCCGACGGCCAGGCCTTTCTTCCTAGTCTGCCCCAGACAGGGAGTCCCACCAGCAGCCGAACTGTCGGCATCAAAGCAACACGCACACCCCACCACCGCCTGAACAAGCTGGCCGTGTCCATGAACGCAGGGTGAGGGACAGTCCGTCCCACAGTGCCGTGTGGCTGCTAGGGGGTGAGTCCTACCACTACCTCTGTGGGGCCACCCTTGGGCTATCTCACCTGGTCAGGTGCTGGGCCCGTTGGGCCCCAGCCTGGCTGCTCCAGTCCGTAAAGGCGGTCTGGGCTGCCTCCACAGCTGCCACCACATCTTCGGCTTGTGCCTCGAAGCAAACGGCCAGGCTGTCTCCTGGGGAGAAAAGTGAGGAGCGGGGGGAACAGGGAGGAGGCCCAGGTGGGAGGATTTAGAGGAGGAAGCCCAGGTCAGAGCTAGGGCGGGGCTCTGAGATTTCTGGCCTCTGGGAGTGCCCCACAGCAGCGAAGCACTCTCTCAGTCCCATGCTGGGCCTCAGTTTACCCCGTCTGTCAAATGGGATAGGAATCGACTTATCGCCGCTAACCACCTCTTACCTATGGGGACTTGGGCCTGTCATTAGGGTGATTGGGATCAGGAAGGACCTGTAATCTCTGTCTCTTCCCACCACCTGTGTCCTACCCTCCCAGGCCTGGAGACAGGGTGGCAGTGGCAATGGGGTTGGAGGAAGGAGACGCATGTTTCCCATTCAATGATGGGGGTGGGGGGGGGCTCCAGGGAGGGGTAGGGGTCTCAGACCTGTGATGGGATCCAGACAAGGCACTGTTTTCCTCTGGCCTGGTTTCAGCCACTTCCCATCCACGTAGTGACCCAGCTGCCGGTTCTGGGTGTCGAGCCAGGCCTGGTCAGAGGGTGGGGCAGGAGAGAGGGGGGCCGACAGAGTTTGAGACGTTGGAAGAGGCTGGACTCTGTGAGAGAGAGTGACCACCCCCACCCAGCCTCCTCTTGGTCCCCCCTCTCCCACCAGCTACTTTGTGTCCTCCGAGGACATATATGCACACGTACATACATGTGTGTCTGGTGTGACGCCCCCGCCCCCACTGTCACCAAGGTAAGGAGAATGTGTCAGTGCAAGGCTTTCGTGGTCCCAAATGAGGACCTCAGGCCCATTGGACAGTTGGCTTCCCCGCCTCTTCCCCTCAGCTCCTGGTACCGGGGTCTAACCTGCTTCCGGTCTCTAGAGGACTTGCTGATGCATCAGGGGCTGCTAACCTCAGGGTCGGCATTTCTAACCCACCATCCGTTCTGAGGAAGAACCACGGGCCTTTCTGTTCCTGTCAAGATGGACCACCTCGGAAACCCGCAGGGGCAGCTCCATCCTGTTCTAAGAGCCACCGTCGACTTTACCACCGGCCAGCTTGTTTCTTAATTTTTACAAATCTTTGCATCAACAATTAAGCCTCCCATGGGGCTGGTGGGTAGCTTTGAACCTCTGATCTTTCCGTTAGCAGTCGAGGGCTTAACTGTTTGTGCCACCTGGGCGCCTTGTCATTCACGATGCATAGAAAACTCAAAAATCCCAAACTCGGCCGCCACCGCCGAATCGATTGTGACTCCTAGCAACCCAATAGGACAGTCTAAGGGCCCCTGTGGGTTTCTGAGACCTTAAATCTTTACAGAAGGAGAAAGGCCCGTCTTCCACCCTGGGAGCTGGCTGACCTTTGGGTCGGGAGCCCAACTGCCTTTAAGTCCATTCTGACGCATATTGACCTGCTATAGGGTTTCCCAGACCTTAAATCTTTACGAACATAGTACATCGTAGACATCAAGGGGGGGGGGGGCGAAAGAGAGGAAGCCCCTCAAGAAGTTGAGTGGACGCAGTGGCTACATCAGTGGGACCCATTGTGAGGATGGTGCAGGACCGGGCAGCAGTGTGTCCTTCTGTTGTGCACACTGCGGGTCAGCCTTGATGACACCAGAGAACAACAAATCTTCACAAAGGCGGACAGCCTCCTCTTTCTCTCAGGGCGGCTGATGGATGTGAACTGCTGACCTTGTGGTGGGCAGCCCAACGCCTACCCCAGGGGGCTCCCATGGCTCCCAGGGCTGTGCGTGTTGCCGAGAGTGACCATGGCGCTGACGCTCAACCAGCTGGGGCCCTTATCTTTGAAAACGCAGCTTCAAGTATGTGGGTGGGTGGGGGAAACAGGGCATCTAGGGTTTGTTTAAAATACTTTAGAAAGATGAAAACAAAAGGGAAAGCTACAGTAGATAAAGGGACGAGTGTTTTGGAAGCTGAGTGATAGGTGGATGGGAGTTCCAGTCTGTGGAAGTTTGGAAATGTATACACACACACACACACAGCGCACGCATACACGCATGACAATCCTTAGAGAATGCCCACAGGTCATCCAAAAATGAGACGGGCTTGAGGGAGCCCGGGAGTCACGTGCTGTCCAAAGAGACAAGCTTGGTCCTTGTTGGACCCAAATGACTTCTGTCAGGGTATGTGAGCCAAAGGTTACCAAATACTGGGATTTCATTTCCCAGGGAGACTGGAATCCCGGATGTTTACTTGGAATTAGTGGCTTGCTCATCCACATCTTCCAGAATCGAGTGCAGGCCAAGGAAAACATGTTTGTTGGTTTGCTGGGCCTTTGGTTAGGGTGTGGGTAGGAATGCCAGGTTCTGGATTCCAGGGCTCCAGCATCCAGTGGTTCTCGAACTCCAGGGCTCTGCCTGTGTGCCCCACCCTGGGAAGGTCACTTCCTCTCTCCAAGCCTCGGTCTGTGGTCCTGGTTCCTTGCTGTGGAGTTGATTCAGATGGACAGTGACCTCACATGGTGTGGGAAGGGGGTCTGCTGGCCGGAAGTTTTCAAGACAGTGACCTCCCAGCAGCAGATGGCCTGGCCCCACTGCCAGGTCATTCCGTTAGGAGTCAGTCTGGCACAGTGGTTCTCCACCTTCCTCATGCCGAGACCCTTTCAGACAGTTCCTCGTGTGGTGGTGACCCCCCAACCATCAAATGATTTCCGTTGCTACTGCATCACTGTCATTTGGCTACTGTGATGAATCGGGCGACCCCTGTGAACAAGGGTCGTTCGACACCCAAAGGGGTCTCGACCCAGAGGCTGAGAACCGCTGCTTTGGTGTGTTGTTAGCAGTAAAAGGATCACAATTACACGTATCCCTTACAGTTGTCTCGAGCCCTGGTGGTGCAGTGGGTTATGTGTTGGGCTGCTCACTGCAAGGTCAGCAGTTCAAAACCACCAGGCGCAACCAAGCCAGAGAAAGAGGAGGCTTTCTACTCCCGTAAAAATAGAGTTACAGCCTTGGAAACCCACAGGGGCAGATCTTTCCTTGTCCTGCAGGGTCACTATGAGTTCAACCTGACTTGATGGCAGTGAAGTTTGGTGGGGTTTTAAAATGTGACAGTTGGCCAGGCGATGACATGGGACCAGTGACATGAAACCATATGTGGTGGGAATTCTTGAATGGTAGACTCATCTGCTCTGTAATCCTTCACCCAACTCTCAGTAAAAAGGTTTACTTTTTTGTTTTACAAGAGAAAAGAAAGGTTTTAGCGATCAACTTTGAAGAGATCAGTCATTGAAATCCTATGGAATGTCACTCTCTCCAACACGCGGGGCGGGGACCGGGGGCGGTGGGTGTTGCCATCAAGGCCGAATGGACAGGAGCTTACAAGAACAGACAGTATTGCGATTTCTAGGCTATTCTACCTGTAGCCGACCTCTGGGGGCCTGGCGGTGGGGTGGTGACATGTACTGGGCTGGAAACCACGAGCTGTTCTTCGGGAGAAGGACGGAGTTTTCTACTCTCGTCTCAGAAGCTCACAGGGGCAGTTCTACCCTGTTCTATAGAGTCCCGGGAGTCAGCATTGATTTGATGGCAGTAAGTTTGGTCTGAGTTTTTAACGAACCTCCAAGTGTACTCTGGTCCCACATCTTCTCCTGGTCCACCTATCTCTAGATAATCTTGTCCCTCCCACTGCTCCATGACCCTTTTACCCTGGGATCCCAGGTCTCTGGGGCCAGCCCAATCAGCCTGAGGTGCAGGCCCAAGTACTATCTGATTTTTGCACACCCCCCTGGCTGTACCCTGGTCTCGCACACTCTCACCAGGCGACAACTGACCTCAGCACCTTTTGCTGCAAACCTGGGCCTCCTGGATACACCACCTGGGAAACCTCCACCCAGTCATAAGGCCAGACCTCAGGAACTGTCCTTTTTGCCTCCAAGTCCCCAAATCTTGTCCCCAGCCTCTGCCACCATCGTTGAAACCAAACTTCCCATTTCACTGTCTCCCGCTGAAACCACAGTTCCAGCTTCCTTCCTGCTCCTAGCCCTCCAGTCTGTTTCCCACATGGCCTGGGGGACTTCTCACTGACACTCAAAGCCTGTCCAATCCCTCGGCTCACGGCTTTCCCTTGGCTCTGTTCTTGGGAGAATCCGGGAAAGAGAGTTATTCTCAGAAACTCACAGGGGCAGTTGGACCCTGCCCTACACAGTGGCATTGAGTTGGCATCGACTCAATGGCAGTGAATGGTTTTCGGTGGTGGTTCTCCTCCCCACTCAAGAGATGCTCAAGTTTCTTCGGGGTGGGTTCTGGGGGGCCTCTAGGGGACCCTCAAGGCTTCATGAGGCTTCCAGCTCCTGTAAAGGTTTACAGGCTTCAAAACATTAAGGAGTTGTATTCTACCTTATGGGGTCACTTGCGATGAGTTGGAATCCCCTCGAGGGCACTGGGTTTAGGGGATGACAGAACCTTCCCGAGAGACCCTACTTGTTCACAGAAGCCATGTGGGGTGGGGAAAGGTGGGGTACCCTGAGAGATCATAGGCACCTCAGGGACTTTCTGAGGAATCGAGGGTGGGAATCATCAAAGCCACATGAAGAATTTAAAGGGCCTTGGGAGAAACATGGGGTTCTCTACTCCTATGCAGAGTTAACCGTCTTGGAAACCCACAGGGGCATTTCGACTCTGTTCTGTAGGGTCGCTCTGAGTTGGAATAGACTGGATGAGTTTTTGAGGGATCATGGGAGTTCCATGAGGGGATTCTAAGGGGCTCTAGGTAATTATGAACAGTCTTAATACATTCTAGGGTTCCCCCAGGGAATCATAGGAGCCCACCCAAGTACTGAGGGCCCTGTGGAATCATAGGAGCACCACAAGGGTCCCCAAAATCTCCCCCCCGCCCCACCAACACACACGGAATTTTAAGGTGGCCCCCGAGGGGTGGGGGAAATTCTGGGAGGTCATGGAAAATACGAGGGTTCAGGTGATGTAGGTCAGGCTGCTGGCTTAGGTCAGTGGTTCAAACACATCAGCCTCTCCCTGGGAGAAACATGAGGCTGTCTATACCCCTAAAGACAGTCTCAGAATCCTGTAGGGCAGTTCTCCTCTGTCCTTAGAGTTGGGATCCATAGGCCGGCAGTGAGATAGATAGGAGGGGTTCATGAGAGCCCCCACAGAAATTTGGAAGCGTCTCGGGGGTCACGGGAGGTTCTGAGGATTTGGGGAGGCCCTACTTGGGATAAGGTGACCAGATTTTAACATTGGTAAAGCATTGGTAAAGCGGGACACCATTGACGGGGGGCCGGGTGGGGGGTGTCTTGATTAAAAGTTTGGTCTTCCCGTTCTCCCGCCATTCCCTAGCTTGTTGTGCATTCTTTCCAAAAAGCGGGACTGTCCCGCCAAAGGCGGGACGTCTGGTCACCTTAACTTAGGATCATCTCGGGAATAGGTTAAAGCGCTAAAGCCCCAGCAACCGCGAAAACTCTCGGGACGTCCGCCAGTGGTGGCGGGAATCACAGGACCCAGGAGGGGCGGGGCGTCTGAGCTGCCGCGGTGGCTCACGGGAGTCAGCGCCCCAAAACGGGCTCCGGGGGAAGGGGGGGAGAGGGAGGGCAGCGCCGGCCTGAGCAGGCCCTCACCAGTGCGCATGCGTCACTCTCAGGCACCGGTCCGTACTCCATGGTGTTAAAGATCTCTCGGACTTGTGGCCCCGCGCGCGTCTCAGCCATCGCTCGCCGAGCCGCTCTCCAGCAAGGACTGAGGGGCGCTCTGCCCAGAGGAACCTCGCGGTCCAAAGGGCGGCACCACCCCCTCTACTCAGAGGGGTGGGACCAACGAAGAGGGCGGAGCGACGGGGTGGCTAACATGAGTTCCGCCCTTTTCCCCGCCTTAGGGCGTGTGGGCGCCACCTATTGGCCCTCGCGGGGACCAAAGGTTGGAGCATGCGCACTTTCCAAGGAGAGGCGTGCTGGGATCCCAATCGCGGGGCACCTGTAATTAGGAAGAGTCTGGATTTAGAAGAAAGGGGCATTAGTGTGCTTTCTTGCCACTGGTGACAGGAAATGCAGCGTTTAGCCAGAAACCGCTCGTGGGGAGCCGAATCTAGCTCAGAGACAAAGTTAAAAATTCATTGTAGCAGCCCCGACGGCACAGAGCGTGGGCGGAAGTGGCCGCTGGAAAAACAGGAAGTGTGGCATGAAACCGGAAGAGTCCCATCAGGTTTCATTGTTGGTTGGTCGAAGCGGGACACGTGGCTGCAGACTTGAAAGGTGATTGGTCGGCAATGGACCGATGGCGCACGAGTGAGGCCTTTTGGGGCGGTCGGCAGTGTGGCATCTTCAGGCACCATGGTTACCCAGGGACCGGAAGTGTGCCTTTCTCTCACACGTTTAGGACTGAAGGCCAGAAGTTGATCTAGAGATATCGGTTCCGAACGGATTTAAGGGCGATAGCCGACCTGGAATGGCCTTGTTGTCTCTGAAAGAATTCTTAGGTGGACGGTAGGTGTCCGGAGTCGGTTAAGAAGCTGGCAGTGAGGTGCGGAGTTCGGATCCCGGAGGTTTCTCCACGTCGGGTGGCTCGGTCTCTTTCGAAGAACATGGCGGACTCGAAGCTGCTGGTGCCCGAGCTAAGCGAGGCCGAGCCCTTGGGCCCGGAGACGGTGCGGTTCGAGGAGCTACTGTTGCAGGTGCGCACTGGCTTGACTTGGGCAATCTATGCTTAGAAATCAGACTCCAGTTCCCAGAATGCCCTGGGACGGCGACAGGACTTATGGGAAACGTAGTTGCTTACCCTCAGAATTCTGGTGCACTGTGCTGAAGTGCTCCACTGCCCATCAAATGTCACCTCTTGAACCCACCAGCTGCTCCATGGGAGAAAGAAGAGGCTGTCAGCTTCTGTAGGATGTATAACCCCAGACACCCAATGGGGCAGTTCTAGAGGGTCTCAAGAGTCAGTCAGTCAAAGACAGTGAGATGATTTTGTTGTTTTTGGAGTGAAATTAGCGTTGGGTAGCAAGGGAGGGCACCTAGCATGTCCTATTCTCCATATTACCCACAGCTCTCAGATCTAACACTTGCTCAATAAATATTTGAGAGGCACCCGAGAGCTCTGAAGGAGCCCCGGTGGCATTCTGATTATGTGTTGGGTTGCTAACTGCAAGGCCAGCTGTTCTAAACCACCAGCCGGGGCTTACTGTTTCCCGTGAAGAGTTGCAGTCTCAGAAACTCACAGGGGCAGTTTGACCCTGCCCTATAGGGTGGCTATAAGTTGACATTGACTTGATGGCCGTGTGCTTGAGGGGGGTGTGTGTATGGTGGTGGTGGGATGAGGGGTCCGAGAGCACAGAGTCCCATTACAGAGGTTTTTCCTTCCACACAGGCTTCCAAGGAGCTCCAGCAAGCTCAGTCGAGCAGACCAGAGTCAACACCGATCCAACCACAGCCAGGTGAGAGAGCCGGAAGCACAGGGTGAGAAGCCCAGAGACTCAGAGGGGGCCGGGGATGGAGAGAGCAGAGAATAGGAAAGAGACCCCAAACGGAGCTGGGAGATCCCAGATCAGGGGAGGGGAAGGGAAGGGAAGGGAGGAGAGGAGCTAACCCAGAAAAAGGGGACAGAGCTGGGTGTGGAGAGTAGAGCTGTCAGGAGAGGAGACAGACCCAAAGTGGTGGTGGTGCAGCGAGGAAGCAAAAGAAGGATTGACAGGCAAAGAGTTGGAGGCGGAGGCTGTTCCCAGGCAGATGGGCAGGACAAAGCAGCCACTCCCACCAGGTTTCTGCATAAAGACCAACTCTTCGGATGGGAAGGTGTTCATCAACATCTGCCACTCGCCCTCCATCCCTCCCCCGGCCGATGTGACGGAGGATGAGCTGCTGCGCATGCTGGAGGAGGACCAGTCGGGCTTCCGCATCCCGATGAGCCTGGGGGAGCCTCATGCTGAACTGGATGCAAGTCAGTGTGCTCAGGGGACCCAGGGGCCCAGGATCCTTAGACCCAGGACTCACCCCTCTCTCAGACCTCAGGAGATTGGCCCCCATGCTCTGATCCTTTTCCCAGTGGCATTGCCTGGCCCTGGCCCACCTTAGGGTGTTGAGAGCTGCCTTAGCACCTCCCCCGGCTTTGGTTCTTTGCTAGCTCCACCCATTCATCTCCACTTTCTCCCCCACCCCCAGCTCGGCCTTGACCCTCCACCGGCACCAGGCAGGGCTGGTCAGGGAAAGCTTCCAGGAGGAGGCAATGCTGAGTATAACTCATGAAGGATACGGTGGTGGTTACAAGTTGAGCTGCCAATCCCAAGGTCATCAGTTTGAAACCACCAACTTCCCCTTAGGAGAAAGACAAGGCTTTCTACTCCCAATTAGTCTCAGAAACCCACAGGGGCAGTTCTGCCCTATAGGGTCGCTATGAGTCGGCATCGACTAGGGGCAGTGAAGTGTTTGTCTTCGTTTTAGTGAAGGCCAGGACAGAAAAGAGGGCTCCGAGCAGAGGGTACCAGGGACCCAAGGACCAGAGAAAATGATTGGCTCAGCTCTGTGATCAGACTCATGGGAAGAAATCAAGGGGGTTGAGGGAGAAAGACCGGCCCGTGTCTCTGGTTCCCGCGGCTGCTAACCCTGAGGGCTTTCATGTCCGGCTAACCCATGGAGGGTGAGGGTGGGGGCTGGCTCACCCTTTATCTCCCCGCAGAAGGCCAGGGCTGCACTGCTTATGACGTGGCTGTGAACAGCGACTTCTACTGGAGGATACAGGTGGGCGTGGGGGTGGGGATGGGGCTGTGGAGTGGGCGGAGCCTTGCCTTCCACTCC